GGTTGATTCTGTGATTCTATGATTCACTTAAGAGACCACAGAGCAGTCAGCAAAGCCTGAATTTCTGCTGTTTGAGGTGCTGAAACTCAGCCCTATAAGGATAACTACTGTCTGCTCTCCAGCCTTTTACTCTGTATGAAACTGGTCTGTCTTGGGAAATACCCTTTATAGGACACTGTAAAGGTCATGCCTTAAATTTAGGTCCGTCTCAGTCTTCCAAAGGCATGTTGTTTTTTTTTATTTAGATGGTTATTCTGTACCACAAATTTATTTAAAAATCAAATTGAAACAGTCTTTGAATTTCTGTATCTTCTGCTTTCCCCCCTCATATCAAGAGAGTATTATGATAGTTGCATTGCTCAAAGTAAAAGTAGAAGTTACTTGAATGTTGTTAGGAATATTGGTGCTGTGGTTTTTACTGCACCAGTAATAGTTGTTGCTAATCCGTTCTAGGAAGGAGTATGAGTTGCTGTGTTGATGGTGTCATTATATTCCTCCTCCCCTTTGTTCCTCAGAATGACCCAGTTCAGAAATACGTCAAGGATGCGATCACACGAGACAAGGCAGCGCAAAGCCTGCGACCCTCTTTGGGGAGCACTCAGAGAATCCTTCAGGAGCTTCGCTCCTCCAAGCAAGTCAAAAGGAAGGAAAATCGCTACCGTGTCATAGCCAGTCACCGACCTGAGTGTACCGACACAGCTACACCTGTCATAAACAGCACGGCCTCGATTGATGGGGACAGGTCAGACTCTGGAGCAAAGGATTCGTCACATGAGGAGAGTGGTGGTGTTGAGAAGAGCTCGGACTGTGGGAAATTCCAGTTGTTTGATATTGTACAAGAAGAAGAGATGGTGGGAGACTCCAGTGTAACCTCTGCGAACCTACAGGTCAGCAAATAAACTTAGTGTGCTTGAAGTGCTTTGGTATCACTGTTGAGTGGTACACGTGGGCAGACTGACTGCTGTGGATGTTGGTTTGCATTGTAAGTATTCCACTATTTAACGGGAGCCTTAACTAGGTATTTGCAAATCGGAGTATTGTACAGAGACTAACTTTCTTGAGGATGCTTAAGTGCACTAATGTTGTTGAGACAGTGTGTGGAGCTGCTGCTACAGGAAGGGCTGACACCACCCTGTTTTCTCTGTGCCCTGTTCTGATGTGTAAGTTCTGTAGCTCTTCCTCAGAACTAACTAGTCCAGGAGACACCAGTGAGGACTGGACAACATATTCTGAAAAGCAGGCAAAAAGTGGCAGCAAAAAACTGCCTGTGTAGTCCTTGGAGTGCAGGTCACTGAAGCAAATACATTGCAACTAATTTATTACGGAGGAGAAAGCATGAAGAAATTTCTTCTGTGTTAATGTTGAAATGAGGAAATAAAGTTAATAAAAAGCCTATCTGCAGGGCCTATTAGCCTTTACCTGTTCACCTGTCACATCACACTTCCCTTGTTTCTCGTGCACATTCTGTATTGTAACCTGTTTGCATATTATCCACACTACTGTACCTACATCTTCCCTGCAGTGCTGCAGGTATAATCTCTGCACAGCACAGGCTGTCTTAAAACTTATCTTTCCAACCAATGTCATCAGAAACAGGTGAATGGTTCTATGGGGTTATTCATAACCTCTTCATATGAAGTGGTCACAGAAGGTTTCTCCTGTTATCTGAAACATGTACTACTGAAACGTGCAGTAATTGGAAACTTCTTCAGTGTCTTTCTGTTGTACGTTGCTAATGTTCTAAAAGCAGGAAAATGAGAAAGTGTTTTGGTCTCAGATTTCAGGATGTCATCCTTGGCTAGCTACAAAGCACACTTGGCTGTAACTAAGACTTTGTCTACATGACTTTAGTGGAAATACACATTTTTTATTTTTTCTCAGCAGAAGATTGATCCAGATGTGATTCTTTGCAACGCAGTAGAGATGATCCGTGAGCGTTTAAATGTTTCTGAAGATGCTAAAAAAGAACAGTGTGACAAAGAAGATGAGTATGTTTATGACATCTACTATAAGGAAACATCAGCCCCTGGCTGGATCGAAAATATCCTTTCTGTACAGCCCTATAGAGAAGAATATGAATGGGTAAGGTTGCGGAAAAAATGATGTTTCTTAAATAGAAAGGCTACAAATAACATGCTTAATGTCCTGCCATTAAAAGTTGCCATGCCAAGAAAGGTCGTTTGAGATAGATACTACACATGTGCTCAGACTTCTGCGTTAAGCCTTTTGTAGCTGCCAGTCCTGTGTTCTGCAGGTTACTGTTGATTCAAGGACATTATGATATGGCAATAATAATATAATAAAAATAAAGCATGGTGCTCATATAATCAGAAGAATCTGTCTGGTTTCAAATTGCCAATTCGGTTTTGGCACACAAGTGTAAACTTGAGTGATTCATGTCTCATTTGTGATTAGGAAGCAGCAATTAAAATGTAGTTGTGAATATGGCTGAGTGCAGAGAGGAGCAAGGAGGGCAGAACTTTTACAATATTTGAGGACTTGAATTTCATCTTCATATGAGATATATAATAGAATTGTCCTTCAGTGACTGTGGAGTTAGGAAGTTTAATGTAAACTTTAGTCTTTCATTTTATAGATACTGTGATCAATAGACTCGCATATTGGGAACCTGAAGCTACTTCTTTTGATCTATTACACTACTGCTGAAGTGAGAGGATTAAGTTAGACATTAACCTTAGCATTTAAATGCTGAAGTGAAACATATAAATGCATGACATAACTGATTTTTCACCTACAGCAGATTTGTAGTGTTATGGTGAATATAGTGACATGGCAACTCAGAGTTTCATGCAGTGTGCTTTGTGTAACTGCAGAATTCCTTATGTGTGCTGTCAGTGAGGAGCTCTTGGCTCTTTCTGTCTGTAGAGTATTGCACAGGTGGATAAAAACCCATTTAATGCTGAATATATTTAAAATGAACATTATGTTTTGTGTTGACATGCAGGTACATGATGATCCTGTTCCAGAGGAAGTATATGAAGATGAAGATGATGAAAATGATGAAAATAACTGGCGTAATGATTATCCTGAAGAAGATGAATTCTTACACGAGGAAGATGGTGATGGAGAAAAAGGTGTGTCTGGCATAAATGCTGTTTGTTTTCATGCTGTTCATGTATAAATCCCATCCTTTTTACATGCCATCTCTAAAAATGCAACTTAACCAAGCACTGCTGGGGTAGTATTCTGCTCTTTTACTGGGCGAAATCTGCTTAGAGGAGCATTATCTTTCTTGGAGGTAGAAGAGATCCTAGCGTTTTTGCGAAGTTAAAACCAGGAGGTCAGTTTCAGGCTGCTGCACTTGCAAAGGATTCCTTGCTTTGAGAAGGAATCTATGACTGAGTTCCACATGCTTGTGAGACAGTGCCTCTGCCTTCAAACCAATTCAAACCTCACCTCATACAGAAGTTGTTCAGACTTGGTTAGTTATTCGAGAAGCTTAAAAAAGTCTGATTAATGTAACTATTTAACTAAAAAGAAGGGATAACCTGAAAGTGTTGATGTTTTCTGTAGACTCTGAAGAGAGCCTCAGTGATGAGGACCAATGTTACAGGAGGAGAACATGGAATAAATACCGACAGGAGGTTCTACAGGAATTTGGATATGATGAGATCGAAGACTTGGGTTCTGACTAACTGCCTTTTTTTGAAGATGAAATGCATACTGAAGATGAAATTCTACTGTTGCAGAATGTGCTATTGGAGCAGCCAACTTCAGCTGGTAGATGATAATCTGGTGATCATGGCTACTTGACGACACAAATTTTTGTTCCAAGCGTAAGATGCTATAAAATAGATTTTTCTGCCCATTTTGTGTGCTAAAGTTCTGAGAGATCTTTTCATGGATTTCTTTTTTCCCCAAAGCTGCATGCCCAAGGATTTGTACCTGTAGTGACCATACCTCCATGTTATTATATATGGAGATCCTGTTGGCAGCAGCCCTTCTGGTCATGACTAACTACTGTGTCACATTTCACAAGATCAATGTGTCTGCCCTGGTAGCAAGTGGAAGTCTTGGAGAAAGGCAGTCAGTCCTAGTGCTTCCTACTGCATTTGTTCCCAAGTGTCAAGTTACTTTCTTTACAAGTGTTTCAGCACATGAAATGTCATGACCTGCCCCTTACTCTCCCCAGTAGTTTTACTGTTGGAGTAGCACAATGTGCATTTAAATTGTAAATAAAAAAAAATTTTTAGTAAGTTTTCTTTGCTCATTCAAAGATTACAGAACCTGGTACAGCTAGAGCCATGTCCCTATTTTAACTTGCATTCACACATCTCTAAAACCACTTAATCCTACCTGTTTGGACACATTAAGTATTTCAGAACTCTCCTACTTGAATCTGTGAAAAATAGCTAACAGGATGTTAGATCATCATTCATGAGCTGTAGGTTGCAGCAGTGACTTTAGGTCAGTTAGTTTCAACTGGTGATGCCCAAGTAGTGGAAGCAAAATAACTTTTTTGTAGTTTCACAGGTTAATATGGCTGATCTGGCTGTTAGTCTATGCCACAACCCTTGGCTGTTAAAGCTATGCTTGCACACTGGACAGATGTCTCAACCTGGACACTAAATTTATGCTAATCATTTGCAAGTTAAAAAAGCTGTATTTGAACAGCTAAATATAAATTCATATTAAACAGTGTATAAAGACCCTACACATTTACATGCCAACTGTGCACAGCACAAAGATGCTCAGGTAGAATTTGACTACCTTAAATCCCAATGCTGCTTCGTAAAGGTAACCCAGGATCCTATTTTATGTCAGTCTTTACCATCTACCATCATATGCCATTATCTACACCTTTTATTAGACTCTACGACCAAGGTCTTCACACTATTATTCAAGTGGCTGATGCAAATGTGGTGCACAATTTGAAGTGTGCATTGCTTCAGCCACAATCTTGTGAGTACAAGATTTAGTTTAACTCAATTGCACAAAACCATACTTGTGGCCAAACTCAGGTCAACCGAGGTAAACATCCTGAGAAAGTAAAAACTCCAGCTAGGTTTTTGAAGTGCATCTCACTTGGCTAACCAACAGACTGGCTTCTTGTGGCCTTTTGCTGCACCAAAATTCACCATCAAGAGAGTCCTGATGTTAGGCTTACAGCTTTGAAACTACAAACACTACTAATTAGCATGTTTGTACACTGCAGTCGTACTTCTTCCTTCTGTTTTTATTTCTATTTTCTCTCCCTGCTACTTAGCTTTCAGGAAACAGTTGCTGCCACAGAACTTTTGCTATAGAAATATAAAGGAAGGTGTTTCTTCTGTGAGGTTTTGAATGGTCTTTCTAGTGAATAGCACTGAAATTTCTGAAGGGAATTTTCTGACTGCTGTGGTAACAAGGCTGAACAGTTCAGAAATAAATGCTTACAGGCTTCAAAGGGAACATTTTAATTTTGGAAGTTTCATAAAGCCTAACAGAAGTTGACCAAGTACTAACAAGCTAACAAGGCAGAATCATCAAGTGTTAATCAAATCTTTAGTACCAAGGTGCTTTGTTGATTGAATCCTTCCTGCAGTCAGGTACCACAATTCCACGCAGAGTACTAAATAAAGTAGTTATCTTTAAGATAGAAAGGTTGGGTCAGTCTTTAAATAATGTAGCACAACTCGATTCATTTTTCTGCTCGTGATGACAGAGTAGGTAGTTTGTTGTGACCAGTTTTCTTCCGGGCTAAGAACGGAGATAGCACAGCAAATCACTTCATGCAAACATCCATCAGAATTAAGCTGGAAATGACTTGGTCTTTTGAGTCAAAGTGGTTTTCAGTCTAACTTAAAAATGCATTACTTCACCGTCTGGTTCTGCAGAAACCTAATTTGATCCATTAGCTCTTACCATTTTAATACCAATTCTGAAGAAGGAACCATATTGATGCACACCTTGTGTGCCTGAAATGAGTAGGGAATCATTATCCAACGAAAACATGCCGTGAAAATATGCCACAGTTTAGGAGGGTGATGTGAGGGCAAGATCTATGTGGGAATCCAACTGCAAGTAAGTACATTCTCAGTATTACTAAAAGACCACTGAAAGCAGTTTTCCCATTTTTTCCAGTTCCAGCTCTTCCCTTTTGTTGTTATAATTGCTTTTTCCTCCCTCCTGCTTCTTGTAATGGCTTTAAATTTTAGTTGGATTTGATTTCTGACTTCTTTTCTTCATTTGTGTCCATCTCTGTTAAAACACAGTAACAGAGTAGCTGCATGTTCCGTGTGACTGCACCTGCACGGGAAATGGCAGATAGATTAGAGGAACAACCTCCTATCTCAACTCCAAGTACACAAGGCTTCCCACTAATGAAAGCTGCCAGGAATGCTGCCTCCCTTCTCTTAAGGGAAACAATAATAGTTCATAAAAAAAACTCTCTTCCACTCAGTTATTTTTAACACACAGAGTTTAAAACTGTTGTGTTGCTACCAGGCACCCTGAGAAGTAACTGAAGTAAAATTACAGAGTCATAGAATCAACCAGATTGGAAAAGACCTCCAAGATCATCAAGTCCAACCCTACTGTGGTTACTAGACCATGGCACGAAGTGTCACATCCAGTCTCATCTTAGAAACCAGGGACAGTGAATCCACCACCTCCCTGGGCAGCACATTCCAATGTCTGATAATTCTCTCCATAAAAAATCTCTTCCTAATATCCAACCTAACCCTCCCCTGGCAGAGCTTGAGTCTGTGCCCTCTTGTCCTGCTGCTGGTTGCCTGGGAGAAGAGACCAATCCCCACCTGACTCCAACCTCCTGTCAGGGAGTTGTAGAAGGTGATAAGGTCTCCCCTGAGCCTTCTCCAAGCTAAACAGCCCCAGCTCCCTCTTAATCTTAACTAATAACATAAATAAATAAAAGTAAAACCTTAGTCTATACTTAAGAGTGTAATATTGGTAAAATAAAAACATAAAACTAGTATCACACAGGAAAGCTACAAGATTACTGAGTATTTATATATGCTACTGCTACAGCACCACATCCCGTTTCTTTCAAGATTATGCTATAAACCTTCTTTCCACATCCCTCAGCATGATTATCTCACACAGTAACAGTGACAACAGTGCACTGCTGGAGAAAAATGTGTCACTTAACTGCTGCAATTCAGTGGAAGGAAAAAATTCCATTTGGGACTCACAAAATCTATCCATTCTCAAGCAACTGATTCAGTAAAGCTGGACTGTTAGCTCGTGTTACCAAGAATGTTCAGCCCTTTTATAGTCAACAACCTTGCTTAAAATGTGCTTGATTGAAGAGAAATGTATAAAACCCAAGGACAAAATGTGTGGATAGAAAGTGGACAGTCTTTTAAAATAGACAGGAAATAATGAGTGTAAAAGCGTAT